GTTTATGAGCAGCATGGCTTTTTACTTCACCAAACTAATTTGTCAGCATTCGAAGCAATAGCTGAGGAGACAGACAAACTACTGATCCAATTCCCACAATCACATATTAAACGACTACTGGAGAATGACGCTAATGAAATATTACAACTATTGGACGCAATAAAAATACACCATCGGTACGCTAGAAGTATTAACATTCTGGGGACTGCCTTGAAATACATAACAGGGACTCCAGACTCTGACGACTTTCAAATGCTCGAGACCAGAACCAATGCCCTATTAGACACAAACGAACAACAAATAGCGGTAAATTCAGCTACACAAAAGAAAATAGACGAATTGACAGTGACAGTAAATAAATTATTACAAAATGCAAAAAGCAATAGATACGCGATATCTCTTTTCTCTAGCCTCCACCAGAAATAGAGCAGTTATAATGGAATTGGAGACCATTTTAACGTCAGTCACCCTGGGCAGGTTAAATATTGTCAACCCTATCCTGCTAAATGGTATGGAGATCAATGGTTTGTTAGCTGCTGAACACTCTGCAAATATTAGCATAAGTGATTTGTTGTTCATTTCTAAAATTAAGATATTTCAAGATACGGATTGCATTTACTTTGTTATTAAATTTCCAAAAATAGACAGACTTTGTAATAATGTAAAGTTGCTGCCAGTGATCCATGACGGAAAAATTATCGCTCTAGAAACAGACATTATTGCTGAATGTAATGGTAAATACATTCCACTCTACAACTGCAAGGAGGCTGTAGCGGCAAACTTTTGTCAGCCTCTGAAGGAAAGCCCCTGTACGCTACAACTACTTAACCAACACTCTGCAAACTGTAAGTTAAAATCCGCCGATAATGTTCCCGCTATTGAGGAAGTTGATAATGGCATACTGGTAATCAACGATCAACCAGCATCTGTACAAACCCAGAACTTGACGAAACTAACGAAGGGAACTTTCCTTGTAACATTTGATGGAGAGATTACGGTAAACACTACGACTTACGTCAACTGGGCTAAAATTATTCGATCGCATCCCGAAGCTGCACGTGCGCAATATGTAAATTTCACCGAACACATTGATTTACTATCGCTACCATACTTACAGAAAGTAAATATGAAGAACCTTAAGCATATAGCGAGGCTGCATGATCTCGTTAACGCCCGTTCATTACAATCAGGGGGCGCACTTCTCTTACTCCTATTTGTCATCTCTGTAATTGTAGCAATCTTAATGAAACGAAGGCGAACTAGCATGGTGATATTGAATAAAGTCATCAAAGAAGCCGAGGACGCCTTCATTTCAAGAGGGGGGTAGTTAACACCGGAAAACACGTATCCGGTCAACATTCCACTCCCACCGATATTGCTGACGGTGCGTCGGCAGGTTTGAGTGTGAAAATAGCGTAGCAACAACTCTCCCACCGATATTGATGACGATGCGTCGACCAGGTAGCGCGTGACAACAACAACATCGCTGCAGCGGAAAAGCCAACAGCAAGAGGTAAAATTGCCGAATTGCATTTTGCAAGTCACACGGCAAAACATGTGCAGCAACTGGTAGGTGATAAGAAAGCGTCAGGTATTTAGGCGTAGTCGCCGCAATATTCTAGTTAGCAAATTCAGTTGTAATAACTCGACCGATACAAACGGCTGCTCTTGTGCAAACAAGAGAAATAAAATAACATTAAAACCAGACCAAGTGTTTTAATAAGTTACACGTTGAAGAGTTTTAAGAGTTTAATGCCCTGATACCCTGGGATCATACTGTTTTAAAATAGTTATAAATTAGTGTCTTGTAGTTGAATCTGCCTAGTCCAGCCTTTACGGACTGCGGCATCGAGTTCCAAACCCTAGCCGCGTTAATGAAGAATAGTCTGGTGGATGTTAGGTAATTAAATTTTGGAACGATAAGACCGTGGTGTCTTCGTGACTTGGCTGGTATCCACAGTATATACAGTAATAAACCTTTTTGAGTACTCCTCGGGGGTAAAATCTGATCAGGGTTGATATTGAGAAGGATCATGAATTTTGTTGATTCAGAGTTGTATACAAAATTATTCTGGTATGAAAGGGAGCAAAAACCGTACTATGGCAGAGTGGCACAAGTCATGACTGTGTAATAGTGCCCGAAACTATTGCAAAAGTGTAAAAACATTGCAAATTTTTGTCTATTATTATAGATACTAGTATAGATTATCATAGTTCAGTGTATAATTTGTTATATTACACCGCACATGATAATGAACTGTTAAATGTTGAAAACGCTTGTAACTTGTAGATCACTCAAACTTGGGTGTGCTTAATGAACTGTCTGGGCGGATGTGCTGGCAGTAATTGGGATCTGTATAGCTATACAAACCTTAATAAAGACTTAAATATATTCGGAAATTTAGAATTTGGCTTGATAAATTCAAAAAATTTACGGTTTTCATAAGTAATTTAATCTTCCATAGGACTTTTTTCATTTTACAATTACATTTAAGAAAACTCCATTCAATGCTATAATTACGATTTGAGTTTTCCAGTTTATAAAACACAAGCGTTATTTATGTACTTAACTATTGATATTATTCTTAATTACGCATGAATATCAGCATACATTAAAGATGAATATTATGCTTAGGCTGTGTGCGAGTTTACCTAAATTTTAGTACCTAAACTAATATTCCACTGGGAATTTCCAGCACTGCTACAATTTAGGAAAACAGCTGCTAAAACTGTGTGAGTTCGTTCGACAGAAATGAATAATTTTGCGGTAGCTTTGGGACTATTTAACAATATAATAAATTTGCAACAGAAAAGGATCCATCCTGGCATCTATAAAAGAACCCGTGTGCTCTTCTGACCCTTCGAAATAATATACATCCATCGAATTACACATATACTTATCTGAATGCAAAAAGCAAATAAATTTATACTTAAATCTTTCTGAATATTTTCTTTTTTGTGCCATAGCAATGATAAAAATTATTTAAAACATCAAAAAATCGTTGTTCACTTAATCGCTCGCTCAAATATATTTGACTGTTCAATTTAGGTTGAAAAGTATGCTCGCAGAAAATCTAAATTGTTCCTATTCACTGCGTTACCGACACTTTCCAGTGATTTAGGATTTTTCCCTATTTAAGTAGCAATTTAGACGTACTCGCACACAGCCTTAAATCTACATTTTGTTCATAAATAACACATATTTGTGTATATTTTATCCTCGAAATGTACTTTTTCTAATCGTGAGGCGAAGTTCCCCACAGTAAGTATTGCCGTGCGCGCAAAATGAACACGCTGCACACAACCCAAAAGTACTCCTCGGGGACCAAATGGTGAAAAAATGCGAAAAGGTTTATTACTGTATATACTGTGCTGGTATCAACTTCTCAAACAGATAGCTACTCAAGTAGCACACTGGTGTATAAATTGGTGTAAATTTATGGATTTTGGTACAAATCTGATTATATTGATTATTTCTTTCAAATCAAAATTCTACCTTTAACATTTTGGTACTATTTATTCATTGAGATTAGTACGAAAACTACACCAGCTCCTAAAATGAGCCACGTTTTTCATTTGGTTCACAAATAGCTCTACGTTAACAAATGTCATTAAAATTATTCAGGCGACATTCTGAGTAGTGATGTGCTGAATTCTCGGTACCAAATACTTGAAAAAAATTTCGGTACCCAATACTTCCTTTTCGGTACCCGATACCGATTCGACACACTAAGGGCCGGTTGTTCAATGTCTGGTTATCACTACCACTACACAATCGACGATTTCGACATCATGCATGTAACATGTGATCGATAAAGCAGTCGTTGTATTTAACCGGACCTTCTACCTCTGATTAGTGCTAATCAGACATTGAACAATCGGCCCTAAACTTTCGTCATTATATCTGTGCCTTTCAATTAAAGTAGCTTAAGTTACTTTAGATGGTTTGACTTTGAATTAAAAAAAAAAAATCAGTTTCCTTTGAAATTGTTTTATATTTTAACTAAGATTCTATTATAGGGACATCTTGAACTACATCTTTGGCTAGTTAAACGTTAAAATATTGTTTGGGAATCCAATGAAATGTGGCTTTAAAGGGCAAAGGACCTATGTCGGCATAAGCTACTTTTGGGGGTAAAAATTATTGATATTTTATAAGACATCGCCTAAAAACCCAAAATGTACAAATAAGACGGTCCTTTCTCAAGAGATGAGCAATGTGTTTATGTATGTAGTTAAGTGAAGCAAGTATAATGTGTGCGGCGAACAAGGCAGGCAATTAAATCTGCAAATAATGATCAAGGCGAATTTAATAAGGTGGTGTTAGCCGTATATAAGTAAAAAATTACACTAACAAAATATACGCAGATATTCATACTGTCATTAGTATGAACTACAACAAACACGTAATTTTGATGTAATGTCCTCCACGGCGAAAAATTCAGATACGCCGGCAACACCACCTTATTAAATTCGCCCTGATACTGATGTCGCAAAACACACTCTCGCCTTCTTTTACTTATCGCAACCGTCTTTCCAATTGCAATAGTTCTGGTGGCAATATTATTTATTTTTAATAGCTGACACTACATATATGTATGTGTACATATAACTCATATTTTTGGCTATTGCGCGCTTTTATTAGAAATTCCATGATTTCGGTACCGGGCATCGAAAGTATTTGATACTTTTTAAATCGGTACCGAGTATTGATCAATACTTAAAAGTAGCGACTCAGCACATCACAAATTCTGAGAGCAATTGGCAGTGGACCAAAGAATTCACCAAAAAATTAATATTTGGGGTGTTCACAGTTCGTTCCAAATAGTGTCTCAATATGTAGACGTCTACATTTTAAGACGTTTTCTAACCGTAAAATCTGTG